CGCCGTCCAAAGCAGTAGCCAAAGCAGCATTGGGCTCCTGCGGCTTGGTGAAAAATGCACAAACCGAGGTGTTCTGCCAGTACCGGGCCGACCTCTCGTGCACGCCGAAACACTGGACGTGCTTCGACTTGGGTAGAAACGGGTTGAAGGATGCCTACAGCTGCCGCAACGTTCGCCTGCTCTCTGCGCACGCCCTCGTGGATGTGCCGGGCACATTCTTTCTCCACCGGGATTTTCGAGCCCAGCTGCGAGCGCTCCGGCGCACGAAAGCTCTTCTCGAGACGTTGCATGAGACCGCGGACTGGCGATCATTGCAAGCGATTGCAGCTTCCTGCGACGTGAACGTGCACGGGGACAGGTGCCCCGCCCGGGACGCGCTGGCAAAGACCATCCGGTCCGCCCTAACCGTCTTGCAAGCTATGTATCAAGATTTACACAGGCAGGCCGTTGTGAATTTCGCGGACGTGTTCTCCGCGCAAATCTCCAACACGTGGTGGAACGCGACCTCTGTGGGCGAAGTCTGGGATGCCGGTTTGTTTCTGGTCGCCGAGCTGACCGCCGCGGGAAGGATATGCGACTCGGACAATGACCATTCCGTGGTGTTGCGTGCGGTGGGCCGTGCCGTCCGTCTCCGTCGCGTCAAGGACAAAGCAGTGACATCCTACCTCACCTCCCTGCGAGACTCGGCTGGGATCACCGCAGAGAGCTCCGAACGTTTGCAAAAGCTCCGCGCTGCTCACACCCTCGGAGCAGGAACCCTGGATTTGAATCGCTTGGACAAAGGGCTGGAGGATGCTAAAGCGAAGATGGGCAAAGTGGATCCCGACTTTTGGCCGGCCGCGAGGCGGCTGAGCCAGACATCATCGTCTTCGCGAATTCCAGACGGCGCGGGCGTGCTGGCGGTCCACAAGGCGCATTCCGCGGAACAGATTGAATTAATGAAAGAGTCCAGTGCGGAAGATATCGCGCGTCAGTTGTACAAGGAGTACCTCGTTGCGGTATATCGTGGCGCGATCGACGTGAAAAAGCAGCAGAACACCAGAATTCGGCAGGGTCCTCTACTGGGAGCAAATACCAACCTCGCGCAAGTGACCCCGGACTGGGCGCACTTTCTGAATGTCCCGGCAAAGCTTTTTCCGCTTGTGATGTTGTTGATTGGGCCGGACGAAAAGCTTGCGAAGTGCGCAACAAGAGAGTTTTCGCAATTCGTGTTCACCGCCCTGCACCAGCCGCGCATGTTCCAACTTGCGCGCCTGTTCGAGCCGTCAGTCGACCGAACGAAAAGGAATCCCGCCTCCGTTTCCGCGGGGTTCGAACTGGTTCCCAGTGTCGAGAACAGCGTGATTCGCAGTGTTCCGCCAGTGCTGAAGATTCCTGTGCGAGTTGGGCTGAAGCACTTCAAGTTGAACCTCCTGCCGGACTGGGCAGCGAATGCCGCTGGCAGGGTGCAAGGCCTTCGCCGACCCGGAGGATCAAGCTCCGGAATAAATGAGGGTGAGGACGAAAACTCCGTGGAGGACGGGCGTCCATTTAGCCCCGCGATCGGTAAAAATGAAGATGACGAGCAGAAGCAGGAGCAACCTGGTGTGCTCGAAAAGCAACTTCGGAATCTGGCGAACACGGTCGACCTATCAAATGCAAAAATGTCTGGGTCTGGAAGGATGCAAGGTTTGTCATGCACATTTTGCATGACTCCTGATGTCTGCGATGCATGCCCTACCATCACAGATCTTGTGAGGGCTTTCTGATGCCTATGCCGCATGAGAAATCCCCTCTCGCCGTGGCCAAAATCAGACCTCTTTTGCTGTTCATGCAATACAGATTTTTGGATAATGCAGACGCAGCATCACAAGTTGCATTCTTCCAGACCCAGACATTTTTACATTTGATACGACCTGGCCTCGTTGCGCGTCATTGCCTTGCGTCCGTTTGCCAGAGATGATGTCCGCGGTCCCGTGGGAAGCTATGTGCTCCAAGTACACGACCTCTCCCCCGGACGCTTCCTGTACGAGCAGAAATCGCCTTCCTTCGGTCTCGCCACCGGGATAACGCTTGCCTGCATTCAGCCCTACTCTCGTCCCACCGAGAAGTTCTACCCGGTGGGTGCCTGGCAGAACTACGAAAAGGGGCGCACGAGGAAATACTGCGATTTTGTACGGATTCGCTGGAAACTCGACGTGGTGGACCTCGTCGCGGGTTCCTCAGAAAACTTTGAAGCTTTGAACGCACCCCTGCAGTTATCAAATGCAAAAATGTCTGGGTCTGGAAACTTGTGATGCTGGGTGGCGTATCATGAGGAGGCCACAAGTGCTGGCTCAGCATGACAAGTTTCTGAGCTTCTAGGTGTTGCCTATTCTGCATGACAAACTGCGTTTCTGAATGACAGAAAAGTGGCGCTCTTGGGTAACGTGCGTGACAGATTTGAGAGTCATGCCAGACAAGCATGACAAGCATGCACTCTTCCAGACCCAGACATTTTTACATTTGATAGCAGTCGACACGGTACAAAAGTGTGGAGGAGTGTCAACGGGAAAGCGAGGAGCAGAATCGGTTATGGGAGGTCATGCAACCGATTCAGTACCTGGATGTCCAGAAAATCACGGCAGGTAAAATCGCTTCGGGCTGGCTCGGGAAGTGGACAAGAACCGAAGTGCCCCCGGACCACCCGTTTTTGGTGGAAGAGCCTCTTTTATGATAGTGGACTGCTTGTTTCCTTTGTTCCCCTCGTCAGTGAAAGAACCCAAAGGTCAAATACGTCTTATCTTAGGTTTTTGGCAGTAATTGCATGACGAACTTTAGAAGATAATGGGCCTTCGGGCATCTATCGGACTGTCTCGACCGGACGAAATACATTCATCTGAATAAAACCTGAATCGTGCACGTGCTCCTTTGTCGTGCAGGTGCAAAAGCTATCTTTGCATAGGTGAGTATATTTTCCCAAAATTATCATGCAAGGGATTGGAGGGATCTGTCCACTTTCATACCCTTCCCCACTCGCCTTCGTGCGGGAGCACGAGGGACGCGTATCAAATGTAAAAATGTCTGGGTCTGGAAAATTCCGAGATTTGTCATGCAGTTTTTCCAAGCTCCGCCAAGTCTGTAATGCAGGGCCTAGCATCGCAGGTTCTGCAGCACCTTAGTGATGCCTATTCTGCATCAGAAATGACCCCAAGGCATGGCTAGAAATGGGGACCTTTTGCAAGTCATGCAACACAGATTTTTGGATTATCCGCAACACGCATCACAAGTTCGCATCCTTCCAGACCCAGACATTTTTGCATTTGATAACGCGTCGAGAAGGACGAGATGGTGGAGGAGGAATGGCACGACCGCGAAGCCTATCAAATGTAAAAATGTCTGGGTCTGGAAGAATCCAACTTGTAATGCTGCATTTGGATTCCAAAAAAATCTGTATTGCATGAGTACCAAAGGGAATGTAATTCTTGCTACGCGGAGAGGGCATTTGTCATGCGGAATAGGCATCAAGAAGCTCCCAAAAAATCTGCGCTGCTAGGGCATGCATCACAGACATCAGGGCTCATCCAAAACGTGCATGACAAGTGTCAGAATCTTCCAGACCCAGACATTTTTACAGTTGATAAAGCCATGCTGAACGTCCTCTTCTCGCAGCAGGAAAGTTCCCCGGAGTCGGAAGCAGCACACCACGACGAGCCACCAGCACCTGTCATGTATGGGTATCCCTATCCGGAAGGCGTTCGCTAATGGAATCTACCATCCTACGTGGGGCGGGATGAACTGGAGCGCACGATTTGCCAGTCAATGCCGAAGGGTTGCGACTAGCCCGATATTCGGCGGTTTTGTTGAGTCCTCCTTCTATTCATTGCACAATGTAAATACTCAATTTGCAGCACTAACTAAACCCAAATCAACTTAGTTTCGTGACCACTTTTTTCCGCTGATGTTGACATTCTTATCTGACATTTGACACTCGATTTCTTATTGTAGTTACTCACCAAGTTCACCTCTTTATACATGAAACAGTGTTTTATTCTTTGCACCTCTATGTGATGCTTACGTTGCCTTGATAAGGTAATAGGATGTGGCTGGATAGAGTAGTAGTGATCGGGGCCGTACGTCACCAAATTAATACAGGATGACTGCTTCTAGAAGCAATCCTTTTATTCAGTATAGACAAAGCCAATCCTCGGGACCAAAAACAGAGTCGAGCCATCTCTCAACTTTTGTAGCTAGGAAGGTCTGAAGACATTTCGTCGCACTTCGGATGAATGGCTATTTTCAAATCGTTACTTTCTCAGTGTGGATGTATCTGCATGTTAAGCAAAAGAATGCGTGTGCAATATCATAGGACACGTGGTCCTTTTTTTTGTGACTCCGTGGAAAGGTGACTCTTTGGCTGATCTGATGGTTGACTCGTCTTGATTTTTTTTTTGACTTTGCGGCAACAGAGTAATAAAAACAGAGCGAGCAGAAAAGGGTGTCATTGTGAACTGAGTAGACAGCAGAGTCGACACCGAGATAGATTCGATCGCGTGGAGAGACAGACGCAAAAAGTTGAGTCAAGCTTCTGGATGTCCACAATGCGACTTCAGCTGCTCATTCACAAGCTTGTAGAGCTTCCACATCAACATTCGACACTACACCATAGCGAGGCCACAGATTTCCATTTGGTGGGGAACAACTCCAAGTTTATTGCGCTTCATCCAAGTCTACTTCCGAGCAGTTCCTGGGCGGCGCATCGAGTAAACCAGTGCAAAAGTTTGCTCTTGGAAAATGGTAAACAATGAGCGGGTTTTCTCCTGGCTGCCATAGCCAGCAACCCTCGGCGGAAAGTGTGAAGAACTTGGAAACCGGCTACACAGAAGCCTACACCGATAGAGTGGATACGACAGAGAAGACATCAGTCACGAGCCGTCAGCGTGGAGCCCACGCGCGTCAAGAAGAAGGAGCAGAATTTTTGACAGCGCTGACAAGCGATTCTTCTCCTGCGGAAATGCCGGTCTCGGGACACGGCATAAGTGATGCGGCGGAAAAAGAGCGCGCCCTGCTAAGTTGGGAGCAAGCTCTGGACAGCGGGCTGCGAAAAATCAAGCGAACTTCATCCGAATTGTCTTCGCACTTGAAGCCGCCACCGTATTTTATGGAGCTTGCGTTGCCTGAGCCTGAAGATGATGATAATTGTGATGTTGATGACGCTCGTAGAAGCGGACTTTCTGTTTTTCCTTTCTTTTTGCTGTGCCGTGTGCTTACATAACTCTGGCTCCATCAGGAGGTCGTGATCTTCGAAAAAATACTGTGTAGGTCGCTGTTTGAGCCGAAGCTTTCGCGGGTCCAGTATTCCTGGCTTCCCAGTGCTGAGGAAAGCGACATTGGGCCGTCTGCTAGCGTGATGGCGTATCTCACGGAAAGGTAGAAGATATGTGACTTGCATATTATGTAGTAAATTTCGCGAGCAAATTAGAATTACCAGTAAGTCATGGGCGGAAACTTGTCCCGATCCTCAGTGATCATTGGTAGCAGCATCAAAGTTTAATTTCCTTTCTTCCGCAGAACGCACTCTTTACGCGAGAGACGAACACAGGTACAGGCGGGAGCGGATGCAGAACAAGAGCGCGGTGTCCGCTGCGTCGACCGACTATTCTGCGAGTAGTGGGTCGCTGACTTCGTCGCAGTTGCGCTCGGCAATCGACAAGCTGTCGCTGGAAAAGCAAGGCTCGTCCTCTTCGCGATTGACGAGTGGGCGGAACACCGCGTCGCCACAAGAGGCGGTGGTTGGGGAGAAGGGCAAGAACCACCAGCCGGAACTACTGCACACAGCTCAACTAGTACAACACGGGGCGGCAACTACATCATCCAGCGCTTGCAGTTCTTCCGCCCGGTCGTGGACGGAGCAATCGCTTTCGGCTGCCGCGGCCGCGCGGATGAAAAACAGGGTTGACGGGAATCTGGAACGGCAGCTCCAGAAGGTGGCGTTGCTGGAGGGGCCTCGGCGGGGCCGGCGGCCGGGGTCCGCGAGCTACAGTGCCAGCCAGCTGAAGCCACTACGGCCCGTTAGCGTCGACCTGCTTGGCGTGGCCCGGGGAGACGATCAAGAAGATGACGTTATTCGAGCGAGGCACGAAATTGACGCACCAGTCATCAAACCAGCAGCTCGACCGCCAAACCACAACCACCAAGCCCAGCCGGACGGCGGTGCGCGCGATTGCGGCGACGGCGCACGGAAGCAGCAAGTTGTATACTCACTTTTGCTCATATGATTTGCCCTGGTTTTTCGTTTTGCGCACAGTCTTCTTAGCATGGCATCGTCCTCGCCGATAACGTTGTTGTTGAGTTCGTTGTGCATCTATGTGCAGGAAGATGGTGGTAGTACTCAGAATGTACGATGTTTGAAAATCAAAATCATGCTTGTGGTCGATCAGCTGCAAGATCGGCTTCTGAAAATAGCAGAAAAAACAAAACATGTGTGCAGCACTGGACCCCGCGCCGGTCCGATGCAGATGAACCTAGGCACTTGGAAGTAGTAGGCGCTGCACACGACCATAATGACAGTTCTGACGGTCTCCCGCCTCAACAAAGGGCTGCAGCAAGAGCGCGGGCGCTTTCGGGTCCCGGAGATCCAGCGACCACACGGGCTCGCAGGTCGAGTTTGAAACAAGCGGCAAGCCTGATTCAGTCGGACGCCGCCGTTCTGGGGAGGCGTGGTGGCAACCGGAAAAGTCGCGACCTCGGCTTCCGCGGTAAAAGGCCTGCGGTCGCGGGCAACGCCGGCCGGCACCTGAAAGAGGAGGTGCGGCGTGACATCATGATCCAAGACTGGATGGGGCTGATCCAACCACGGGATTCCCGTGGATCCCAGTCCAGTCGCTGCTGAATTTCCGTGCCGGAGTTCTTGCCCGGCTGACGCCCTAGCGACGGTGGATGGAACCGCCGATTAACGCTTTCTTTCCGATCTGAGAATAAAGATTGAGAATCTTCTCACTAAGTGCATTGAGAATATAGCATCCAAGTTAAATGTGACCCCACGCCTCTGCAAACGGCAACTCGGTAGGTCCTATTGCCTCCGCCAGAGGGCTTATCTCCTTGATGTTGATACTGGAACATAGGAGGTTTACTTAATCGAAAATGAAGAAATGGGTCGGAATTGCTGTAATGCTCTGAAGATCAAAGAAAATGTCGTCGGTCAAGCATTGTCAGATTCTCGGTAGTAGTGCAAGTGGTCTGTTTAGTACAAATGCAAATGCCTGCAGGAGATCTCCGATCGGTTTGTGATGTAAATCTAGCTGTAGCTTCGGTACCAGATAATTTTGATGGATCACTTTTCAAAAAAAAAGACTCGGGTCTTTTTGTGTGCCGTTTCATGCGATCTGTGAATACACGATGGACAGTATTAATCTACGAAGTATTGACGTGTTGAAAATTGATATGCTTGATATCTACCTAATTTGCTGCAAATTGTAATTGTTCCTGGAAGATTTGTTGCGGACCAATTAATCTTTGGTTGTGTCTTCCAGCTTGCCTTTATATCAGCTCCGTACTGTCTATCTTCAGATTGATTCTTTACATTCACAACTTTTCATGAGCCAACGGGAGGATGTACTGAGGCGCCGCGCGGGCGCGGGAGACCAAGGCTCCGCGAGAGGAAAAAAGCCGGGGAGCAGCACTAGCAGCACTTTGCGGCCTGCTCGAATTTCTGCAGCGACTGTAAGGCCGTCCGCGGCTACGCCCGGTAGCGAAGTGGAGTACTACCCAGCGGTTGGCACCTTAGCTCCGACCGGTCGGAACAATGACGGGGGCATCGCCCAACAGGACGATGCGGAGTTTAAGGGGAGTTCGACCCTCGTTTCCACAACGAGGGGCTCTTTTGTGGTGCCAGCTTCTAGTGCAAGTAGAGACGAGGACGGGATAAAGAAGATAAAGGGCGCCGCCTCCCCGGCCACCTCTACTTCTACCCTGAGACCCGTGCAATTTGTTGGTCTCGTGATTCTGGTGGTGGTTGCCCGACTCCTGGTATCAAATGTAAAAATGTCTGGGTCTGGAAGACTCTGACACTTGTCATGCACGTTTTGGATGAGCCCTGATGTCTGTGATGCATGCCCTAGCAGCACAGATTTTTTGAGAGCTTCTTGATGCCTATTCCGCATGACAAATGCCCTCTCCGCGTAGCAAGAATTACATTCCCTTTGGTACTCATGCAATACAGATTTTTTTGGAATCCAAA